CCTGATGAGAAAAAAAAAACATGATTTCTGCATCAGTCTAATATTGCCATCCAAGCAATAACAAAGTGCCTTGGGACAATGAAACCAAATGACTGTGCCAAGTCACCTTTGATTGTTTATGCCTGATCTCTTCGCAACCGTAAAAAATGCCAGAAGCAGTACTGAGCCAGAAAAACCTGTTTACCTGCTGCCTGTTAGAATCAGGATAGAGAACAACCAGAAATAGCTGATTGGATCTACTAAGTCTACTGATCTTGCAGAAGGCCAACTCCATTGATTGTCATCAATTAGCATTTTCAGGAATTACTTTATGTCAAACTTATTAATGAGAAAGGATTAATCATTGTTGGCATCTATATATGTTCCTAGTTGGCTTAGAATATGGTGACTTTGCCTGGCATCAGGAATCAGAGGAGGTGGAATGTGTATTGAAGAAAATAAGATTTTAGGTTCAACTTTTTTGTAGCAATTGGAATCTCAAATCAAACGAACAAAAACCCAACATATAGAATTCTACTGCCTGGAAAATTCGTCATCAGTCAGTATTCCAAAATGTTTCATTCCAACCATTTCCATGAAAAAAAAAATGTTCCAAAACTTCAGTGCTGCCATTGCTTAGTGCTTGATAACATTTGAGTTGAATTCGAGAGAGTTTTTGAGCCGGACTCAGTATCATGCTCGTGGGCCTTTTAAGGGCTATAAAATCATGGGTTTTAACCCCAAAATTCTTAGTTATTTTCCATCTTAGAAATCTTGGTTTTCAAAAAATGAAAGATTACATTTTAGTAATTGGAATATATATATCCTTTTAAAGACTTGTAAAGGTTTTAGTTAGTAAATTTTATTTAAATTTCATATTTTAAAAAATTAAGACTTAAAAGAGCAATAGTTGCTAATATTTGAACTAATTAGTGTAGAAATTATATTAATCTATTAGGAAAGAGAGAAAAGGCTATTAAAATACTGTAAAAAAAATTGAAAAGCAATAAAGTAAAAAATATAACTAAAAAACACACAAGAAAAAAATAGACAAACATACATAAATCGGTTCAGACCAAGATAAATAAATTTATTTGAAAAAGTGATGTATTGAACAAAGTATATAAAATCCCTTCCTCTTTAAAAAAAAATACACAAAAAAATAATAGGCAAACATGGATTTTTCACATTGAAATTTTTTTTTTTTCATTTTCCTAAAAGAAAAAATTAATTAATAAAGTATAAACGTTTATAGGAAAAAGCAAAGAAGATTATATTTTATTCTTAATTCAAAAGTACTTAATTGTTTATTAATCAAGTGGGGTTATAAGTGTAATTTCATATAAAAAATGAGGCTAGAAACTTCTATTTAACAAGAAAAATGGCGGACTTGTTTCGGACACGGTCAAATTATCCATTTTTACCAGCCAAAAAGGTACGATATTTTGCTTTCTGTTTTACGATTTACACCCTTAAGATAATTTCTCTTCTGCTTTTTTCTATTATTTTTGTAATTTTTGGCGGATCACCTGATCCTTGGTCCGTGATCATCTTAACTGCTTTTTCCCGTTGGTTCATCGGAAACCCTAAGGAATAGGCAAAAAAAAGGCTTTTTTTTAATCTAATTTTTGTTTCTAAATTCTGTGAACCCCTATATTTGTTCGTTCTTTATCCAAGACATGAATAATTAGCTAATCAAAATATAGTCATACTTATTTTTGGGCTATGAGTTGAAAAATGAAAGGAGGTTTTTTTTTTTTTTTTTTTGAAGGGGAGGGAGGGCCTGGGGACTGAAAATTCGAGAGCTTGATGGGATTATAGAGGTGGGTATTACCGGGAATTTGAACCTATGTTCTTTTTATCAATGAATTGCTCTTTGATCTGTTGTTTTTGAAGTTTACTCCAGGATATATTGAAATTTATTCTGTTGTTTGCTATAAAGAAAAGCTATAGCATGTGACCCTTAGAATGATTTCTTCTGAAGGTTCTTGCTATGTTTGGGAAGATGAATTTGGGAGTGTGGATTTGGGTTTAGTTTGCTGTGTAAATTGTGAAAATGAAACTAGGACACTTTGTATAAATTAATTAAGATCCGATATGGGTATATATTTGAAAGAGTAAAAGAAGATGACTTTTGAATTCACAAATAGGTATGTCAGTTCACTGTTATATAGGGATCCAACAAATCTGCGAATTTGAAAATTATCATGAGAGTCATATTTACATTTGCTCTATCAAGCAATTTATGCTAAATTTGAAATACAAATCTTACTTTTAAATTCAATTAAAGTCGCCAAATGCAACCTTATTTATTTGCTGCCTTGATATTGTTTTCCAAAAAAAATCTTGATTTGAAGTTTCATGCTTATGAATTCTAGTAATTTTGGTTGTCCGAGTTCTTTCTTACACTCTTGACACCTTGATGATGAATTTGTGTGGCTGGACTTGTTATCTGATGATACCTAACTTTAGCTAATAGACTGTATGACCAATGTTTTGGTGTTTCTTGTTTGTATGAAACATGTGATTATGCGGTGATGATTCTTTAAGTGTATATCAAAGGCAAGAGATGCTGGACTCATTCTGGGTTGCTACTTGGTAGTGTTGAGATTTACAGAGAAATAGCACAGTAATAGGCATGTTGAACTATGAAGTCAGAAAGCTAGTTAAGGGGCTTACGACTTATAGATGTCTTCCTTCTGTTCATATATGTAATCTTAGCTAGCAAATGTAGAATGACTAATCCAATAATTGTTTTAATTGTTTGGTTTGTAAAGACATTATAGGTTGGAAGGAAGCATGGAAATGAATTTTTATTCCTATAAAATATACTTTGTTTTTTGGTATACAAATGAATTATACTGTGAATATATATAAGTTGCTAGCTCTGGGGAATAGGATGATGATGATGATGGGAGAAAGAAATGTCGTATATTTGCATTGATAAAAGGACCATGGGATTCACCTGCTAGCCTGAAAAATGCAAGCATTGCATATACAGTTGTTTCCTTATGCTGTCCTAACTCCTAATTTACTGTTTCTTCTGATGTTATTTTGGGTCAACATATGAAATGTGTCTTTTCTAAATGTAACTAAATGGCCAAAATGATGCTTCAAATTACAGGAATCTATTTAATGGTGGATGTTCTTCATCTCTGCTGTAATCCGCTATTCTGTTCCTATACTTGCGGAATTTCTTTATCCTTTCATCAAAATGAGATTAAATTTTGTGTTTTCAATTGCAGGAGAAAATTGACATTATATGGATAGTAAAGTACCTTCTGACAAAGTTACTCGGGAGCTAGCTCGTGAGTTACTTATTGCAATATCTTATTCTGTACCAGATACTGATCCGAAATCAGATCATGCATCTAAAAATGTAGGTGATACAAGTGTGGCTGTGGTGGAAAATGTTGATGAAGCTGAAAAATATAGGTCTGAACTGATTTCTATATCCAATGCACAGTCTCCGGATGCTCAAGTGCCTCCAGTTGTGCTGGGGAACCATGTAGGCTAGCAGTACTAAATTTGTAATGGGAAATTTTATAACATACAGTGGCAGTTGATGTTTAGAAGAACTTCATGTTATAGTGTTATGTGATTTTACACCTAATGTTGGTTTGTTATGCGTGTGATTCTCCCCATAACAATGTAAATAAGGGAAAACATATTTCTCTACAGACTATGTTAGGGCTAAAGTGAAAGATGTATTTTGCAGTTACTTGGTTCATTCTTCTTGCCTTTTCTTTACCCTGAATTGGTGTCCATAGATTTTGCAAGGTGCAGGATGTTCCTGAATTTGTTTGTTTGGTTCTTACGGTTGAGGTTTTCTTCTTTGTTTCATTTAAGCAAAATCTGATTGAGCCTTTGATATAAAGGCCGCAAGCCTTCTGGGTCGGAGTTCCTTTTCACATGAAGACATCCTCAGCTCTAGGCTGTTGAATTTTAACATACAATCCAATAAAGAAGTTGAGATATGTTCCTGCTATCTAATAATTAAACAAAAGAAGAGAAATAATAAAAGCAACAGAAGGTATTCAATTTTTTCTGTTCTTTTTTTTTTAATGTATTGCATATGGTCAGTCCTATACCCATTAGAGAGTTGATAGGAAAAGAAATTAACCAGCCATGTTAAGTTCATCATGAATTTGTTTAAGCCAAGCGAGATCCATATGATGTGGCTTTGGTCTCCGCAAACTTTATTAAGGAGAATTTCATTAAGTTTAAATTTAATAATTCGTATATTTGTATAATATAAAATATTGATAATTTTTATATTTATATTATGTTTTATATGAAAATTATATCATAATTCAAGTAAACACGAAAAACACAAAATATATTTTTATTTTTATTAAATTCATATATGATTTTTAATAAAATTTTAATTCGTATTATTTTTATATTTTTATATATTATTCTCGTATCATCTCATTATACTATATTTTAAATTATCAAATTTATCCAAAATATACATTGAAGAATGTTGTCTGATCGCAAACTACTGGGCTGTTTACTTGGTTTGGTTAGTCAAAATTGATTACACTTAGCTCTCAATTATTAATATATCTATATCTTGGTACATAATTTCCCACTAATTTATGGGATAAACTTTTTCTACTGCATAAGTTAATTATAAATTTTTAATTGAGTACTTTGTAATTTTTTCTATTACCAACGAGGATCAGATCAAATTAATACTTTAAATTTAAAGGGGATCAAGTTCTATATAATTCCATCCATAAAAAACGACCAACATTATTAATTTGCTTAAGGAAAACAATTGACCAGAATAAATTGAATGGTTTATTGAGTTGGAAAATATTTAACTGAAGTTTTTTAAGTAAAATTTATAAATTTTTTATTAAAAATGATTAAATAAAAATATAAATGATAAATGATAAATTAAAAGGCGTTATATTACGTGTGTGAAATTTAAAAAAATTATATATTTTTTAAATAAAAAAATTTTAAATACTTTTATTGCGAGATATGCAAGGAAATTGGAGGCTTAGCTCGAGCAAGAGAAAATCTATATAAAAGAAGTTTCCATGGCGAAGAAATCAAACACTTTCCTACTTCTATATCACAACGCAGGCCAGGCGGGCAACAAGTGGCATTAGAAGCAAAACACGATGGAAATCAAGTCTGAAATCGTTTCCAGGCAAACAATCAAACCCTCCAACCCAACTCCTCCCCACTTGAAAACCTTCAAGCTTTCTCTTCTAGATCAACTCACCCCTGGCGTCCATGGCAACATGACCTTCTTCTACCCCTCTAATAACACCATTGATTCCATAGCTGAGGACTTCTCCGACAAATCCAAGCTCCTTCAAGAATCAATATCCAAAACACTCTCGCTCTTCTACCCACTGGGCGGACGTTTCAAGGACGCTGCTACTATTGATTGTAACGATGAGGGTACTTTCTTTGTCGAATCCAAAGTCAACATCCAGTTATCCGAGTTCCTTAATCGACCTGACTTTAATCTGATGGATCATTTTCTACCAACTACTGATCACAAAACCACGGAATTGTCCAATGGTGCCATGTTTCTCGTTCGGATCACTAGCTTTACTTGTGGTGGTGTCGCTGTTAGTCTCTCTCTTACTCACAAGCTCGCTGATATGTCAGCTCTGCTCGCTCTCCTCCAGAGCTGGTCATCGATTTGTCACGGATTGAGTTACCCCGTGACCCCTGATCTCATGGGAGAAAAGTTTTTGGCACCCAATGATCAGCTTTCTGCCATGTCTTCAAGTGTTAATATTGATGCTGAAAAGTTTGTGATGAGGAGATTTGTTTTCGGTGAATCAAAGATTGCAGAACTGAAGGCTAAAGTCGATCAGGAATTTAGAGAAGTGATGCAAAGCCATCCCTCTCGGGTGGAGGTGGTTTTGGCTCTGATATGGAAATGTGCGGTGGCTAATAAGAAACAAAAAACAGGGTCCGTCGGGCCAACAGCATTGTTTCAAGCTGTCAATTTGCGCACAAGGATGTCTCCTCCGCTACCAGACACTGCTTTTGGGAACTTTATATGGCCATTTATGGTGCTTGCAAAAGAAGAAAAAGATTTGGAGCTACATGAGCTAGTGATTCAAATGAGAAAATCCTTCAACGAATTCAATAACACCACGGCAAATATGTTCAGAGGCGAAGGGGCTCCTTTGGCGGTCATGGGGGCCTTGAAAGAGAGAGGAGAATTCTTCAGAAACAACAGAGAAATGACAGTTTACAAGTGTTCAAGTTGGTGCAGGTTCCCCTTATATGACACTGATTTTGGGTGGGGAAAGCCACTATGGCTTGTCAGTATAAACAAAATGGTGAGTAATACAATTGCTTTGGCTGACACACGATCCGGTGATGGAATTGAAGCTCTCTTGACTTTGGATGAAGAAGAAATGGCTTTATTTGAACAAAATGAAGAGCTCCTGAAATATGCTACTCTGAACCCCAGCATTAATGCTTGATTTTTTGCTTTCTGCCCACTGCAATGTGTGATTCTGACCCTTTTTGTTTTTCTATGATTTGAAAAGCTTCGATCGATTGTACGATGTCTTTGTTGAGCAAAAAAAGAACGGAATATTAGAATAAATTAAATTTGCATGGAATTAATGTGTATAATAAAAGTCCCGTCAATGGGATCTAATCTTTATACAAAATTACACCCAAAAATGGAGAAGTTTCCTTGTACCATCGATGATCCTGGTTGTCTATGACATCACCATATCTCATTGTAAACCTTGTTGCAATCTCCGCCAAATCTTCCCCCTGTACCGATGCAAATTTGGCAGAACCCAACAAAAAATTAAAAAAAGAAAAAAAAAGGAATTGTAAAGGAAAAAGTAGAAACCTAACTACCAATAAATAAATTTGTCGATGTAATTCTTGGTTTGGTGCAAGTGGAGCTCCTTGGACAATATCATACCTTTCACAAGGAATGAGGTAATATTTGGTATCCATTTTCACACTCAAAAAAGCCAAATTTTCATATAAAGAAGAGGTAAGAAATAATATTGGAGAAAGAAGACAACAAGAGAAAGCAAAGAAGGGAAAGAGTAAAGAGTTATACATGTTTGATTTGATTTTTCTTTTTATATCTCATGAATGATGACATGATTAATTAAATAAGTGATCGATTTATCTTGAAATCATATGTGAACAATGATGATATGATGGTCAAAATATTAATGACTTAACATCAACGCATAATAAATTCTAATTGAAATTCTTTCAAATTATAAAAAACTTAAAAGAGTTTTTAAAAATAAATACCCTTAAATTTTAAATATTTAATCATGTTAAAAGAAATTAACAATATATTCTTAAATAAACTTATTAATATTTGTTTTTAAGGATTTGGTTACTTTTAATTTTATTTATTGATGAAGTGTCATTGTATGATTATATACTATCAGTGCATTAACTATTAAATCTTATATATATATATGAGTTTATTTTTTATATACTAATATTATAACTTTTTAATAAGCAGAATTTAAAATATAGATACATATAAAAGTATTATTTAATATTGTAATTTGCAGATATAAATACTTGCAACTAGATGGTTAGCAAGGCCAGCAATAAATTCAAGAGAAAAAGAAAAAGTGATTGAGTTTTTGATTCGTAGCAAATATGGATTCCTTGAATAGGAACAGAAACATCAGTAGATTCGAACAAAGTAGTCTTCCAGGCTTAATTGTGAACACGCCAGGGCCTGCCTAGGCCTGCATATATACCTTGGCCCCAATTATAATTTCGAAAGCCTTTGTTGTAGACATCACCTAAATATTGAGATTTTGAATATGAAAGCAAGACAATGGGGATAAAAAAAACATATGTATAAAAGAGAAGCAGGAAAATCTTTGTTAAAAAATATATATATAAGAAAGGGGAGATCAAATTTGCAATGTTGGAGCTTTGTCAATGGCATATATAGAAGATGTAAAATACGGTACAAAGTTTTAGTGGGAAGCATCTTCTTCCTCGCAGAATTTGGTGTATTCCTTTGGAGCCATCAAGGATTCTAATTCTGACGGACTACTTGGTTTCACCTTGATCATCCATCCTTCTTCATATGGGCTTGAATTGACCTTCAATAGCATATTAAGATGTTAAACTGAATTGCCGAAGTAAAATATATGCTTTTATATATTTCCTTGCGGAGCAAAGGCAAGAGTACAAGTGTTTCTATTTAATTTATTTCCCTATATATTGTTTCTATGCATCAAGAAAAGTAGTTGGATATAGTTGAATGAGAGAATTACCAAGCCAGGAGCTTCAGTAAGCTTGGAGTTAACCTCAACGATTTCACCAGAGATTGGCGAATTGACATCACTGGTTGCTTTGACACTTTCCACAGCTCCAAAGCCTTTGCCTTTGCTAACTGAACCACCAGGTTCTGGCAGCTCCACGAGGACTACCTCTCCAAGATGGTCCTGTAAACAATATAGCATGTAATGTAATGTAAGTTAAATCCATAGATTGATGAGCTATTGTATACATACCCTACTGCATTGTCCCATAAAGGGAAAGAGAAATGCAGCTATCATTTGTATGGTCTTGAAAGGTAGAATTCTATCGGGTCCTGAAATCATGTCTATGTATATTCTGTGTCAATGATGTATTATTTCTATAAACATGTCATGTCATGCCATTTTTGTTAGAAAAAAATAAATAAAAGAAGAAAAGTAATAAAAAAGAATTTTGACTTTGAAATGTGATAAATATTTTTTTAAAAGTAATTATGCATTTAAGATATAATAAAACTTTAAATTCTTCAATTAAAAGTAGTGAAAATAATTATACTAAAAGATTTATTTATAATGAATGGATAAAAATAAATTTATATTCAAATGGTTATGACTTTTCATATAATCATGATTTTTATGAATAATAATCTATTTATATTCAAATAGTTATAAGCATTTGTCGTATGATAATTATTTTTGTTCAAACATAATTATTTAAAATATAAATAAAATTAATTTTATTAATCAATAATTAAATATTTCTATCCAATGTGAGATGCATCATATTTTAAATTACCAACAATCCTCTACTAGTTTGAAATGTTGGTGTTTAATTTTTACATTTTATACAAATAAATATTATGAATAAAAAAATATATCTTTCTATTTATACTTTTAACTATCATAACATCTAAATTCGAAGATCTATCGCCAGGTGTTGACTTGAGGAGTTACCACCAATCTTTTTTTGTTTAGATACGATTGGCCACCTAAGGAATCTATCCTTTAAGGAACACCTAAGCTTGACTAAAGGTCCCTAAAAGAATAGGTTCAGGTCTATTAACCAGAACAGGGTTTGGGAGTTCGATTACGTGTGAAGAAGGTTATAGCACCCTCACAAAGTCCATCGAAAGATAGTACCAGCTTGATTTTGTGTTATCCGATAAGCCTTAAAAATTTTATCTAGTAATTAACTATTGAAAATTATTCTTAATTAACTCCAATATTTTTGGCATAAAATTAAAAAAATTTTCTTACCTTAAGAGTATGCAAGAAAATCACTGTTTCACTTGCAAAGATTCCATCGTCGGATTATTTAACATTAAAAAAAATCAAAAAAGAAAAGAAGAAAAAGAAATAAAATAAAACAAAACAAAAAGGAATAATGATTCAACTTTTTGATACAATCATTTTCTTTTTATCTTTTTTTTTTAAAAAGAACTTATTGCTTTTGTACAAGAAAAATTGATACTTTCAACTTTTACTTAAAATGTTTTTCTTGATAATTTTTATTTTTAAGAAAAATTGATACTTCTTACTTTTCCTCAAAATGTATTTTTTTGAAAATTTTATTTTAGAAATTGTACTTTAAGAAAAATTGATACTTTCAATTTTTCGTTAAAATACTTTTTTTAACCTTTTATTTTTCAGAGAAATTGATACTTTCAACTTTTCTTTAAAAAAAATATTTTTTGGTATTCAAAGGAAATTTATACAATTAACTTTCCTTCAAAAAAATTTTTTTTTTGTTTTTGGAATTTTATTGTAGAAAAATCATTAAAAAATAAAATAAGGAATACCAAATAATTCTAATCTAATCAATAAATAATAATAATAAAAATAAAAATAAAAAAAAATGAGAAAGAAAAAAAAAAACCTTGAAACGGCTCGGCTCGGCTTGGATTCAACTTGGCTTAAGAGACAGAAAATGGCTCGGCTTGGTGTGGCTTAAACGGTTCAGTTCGGTTTGGCTTGATGACTAAGGTACGGGTCAAACTCGAATCAAAAGCAGGTTGCGCTGCGGGTCGGGTCGTCCGAACAGAAACGCACTGATCTTCTGGATTTTACTAATGCTAAAAAAATGTCATTTTAGCTAGGTATAAAATACTCCCACCTCTGTTTTGTCACGGATTGCTTTTTTCCCTCTTTCCCTCTCCTATCACTTTTTTTTCCTCCTTCTCTCTAAAAGAATCTCAAGAACACCGATTGAATCTCGTCGAATTCTGAAAAATATTGTTGAAACTTGAGTTATTCGTCGGAAGTTCATCGAAAAATTGATCGATTTTTGGAAATGGTACGCCAAAAACTGGGTAACTGGTCAAAAAATTCAACCGATGCCGGAAAAGTCACCAAAAAATTCAAAGTTCATCGAAAAATTTTACCGGAATATGAAATTTCTAAAAATTTCTCAAAAAAAAAAATCGTTAAAAACTCCCAAAATTTTTCTAAAATTCCTAAGATTACTTCTGACCTTTATAACACATTTTTTTGTTTTTCCTTTCTTTCTCCGTGTGCTTTTTAGGTGATTTATGGACTTATTTATAGGGATTGATCAGAAGAGTTTCTGATCAATCTCAACTCCATCTGAGATTTGGATTAAGTCTTTGAATCCAATCCAGACTCCTCTAGTCCCATATATCACGGCAGAATTCATTCTAATTTTTTTTTATCTCTCAGTCGAAAATTGATCAAGAAAAAGATAAAATAAAAAAAGATAAAAATATATATACTAATAGATAATTAATAAATAAATATTAATAAATAAATAATAAAAATAATATATATTAATAAATAAATAATAATAAATAATAAATACAAATACAAATGGGTTTACCCATTTGGACCAGGCCCAATTAATTTGGGCCTGGACCAAATTGGGTGTCTACAGCTGCCTCTTTTTACATATTTTCAGTGAAACAAGAATTGTGCAAAAACTTAGACACCCATTCAAGACTCCACTTGACCATTTTTTTGTGTTAAAATTTTGATCAAAACTCCTCTAAGTAGAGGCTCAATGTCTTTGAAAAACATGAATAAACCTCCTCTAAATAGAGGCTCAACGACTTTGAAAAAATAAACAAAACTCCTATAATATCAGAGGCTCAATGACTTTGAAAAAATAAATAAAGCTCCTCTAATCAGAGGCTTTGAAAAAATAATCAAAGTTCTTTTAATCAGAAGCTCAATGACTTTAGAAAAATAAACAAAGCTCCTTTAAACAAAGGCTCAACGACTTTAAAATAAATAAAGCTACTCTAAACAGAGGCTTAACAACTTTTAAAATAAATTGCTCCTCTAAACAGAAGTAACATAACTTTTAAGAAAATAAATGGCTCCTCTAAATAAAAGTGGGAAAATAAATTGCCATAGGAAGGATTTCACCTCCAAGAGCAAATTCATACAGACAAGCAATAATCTCTACTAAATTGTAATAGTGTATTACCACTTAATTAACATGCATCTTTCCAGGCTAATATGAGTAGGCGAAAAAAGTTGATGGTTAAGGGAAGAAAGAAGCGAATAACCTGAGCATGGTCAGTGATGCCAATTGTGGCCATTGAACCTTCATGCTTCACCCATTCATGTGAATTGGCGTATTTCAACCCATCCAAAACTACAAAATCCAACACATTGTCCAGATTACAATCCTTAATTCCACAAAACAGTGGCTAAAAGATATCAAATACCAATAGTCTCCCATGACCCTAAAGCAGATACATGAAACAGTAGAAGAAAAAGGGTACCGGTGGAAAAGCATCTGGAGGGGTGACCTTTGGAGGCACAAGAGATTTTGAGTGCACTGGCAGTGGAAGAAGCCCAAATTCTCAGCGCCATGTTATAGCTATCTTTCTTTGTTTATGGGCTTTTGTCTTTGGTTGGCTTCAAATCCATACGGACAACGAAATAAAGAGAAGTTGGTGAATGGTTTCTGGCTGGTTTTATCCCGTATGAATGGTAGGCATCGAAAGCCTCATCCTAAGACCTGACTAACAATGACAACATGCTGCGGTTTTCCCTTTCATGCGACAAAATTTCTTGTCCTTCTTTTACTGTTATCATAAACTCTTTTTCAAACAACATTTAGCATGCAAATGCCATACTTGATTAGAAAAAATGAAAATCATTGGTCAAGAGGGTTGGGTTTTTTTGGATGCAATCATGTCAATCAAAATCGGACTATAAATAGTAGAAGCTGACTGTTTGTACCAAATGGAAATACCAAGGTCTCAACTGCTAAAGGGTTTTTTTTTAATTTATTTTATATATAAACATCATGTACCAAACTCTAATAAACTCTAATTGTTTATATAAAAATGTATTGTTTTATTAGTGGTAAATGCACTCCAATTAATCCTCGACGGCACGTACTAGAAACTAAGTCAATGGCTGCTTTTCTTTCTCGTAGGAAGCACTCGACCCCATATCTTCACCTACTCTCTTTCAATCACTAAATTTCTGTATCGTATCATTTTAAAACGATTCTTCTTCTCCAATCTTTAATTGTTTATACATAAAAAAAAGCTTTGAAAAAGAAAAAGTAGTAACCAATATTAAATGAACAAAAAATCAAAGTGTTTGATTGATGATCTGAACCAGCACGAGTCAACTAGCAGTTAACCCCAAAGAAAAAAAAAAAAAAAAAACTAAGTTGTCAATGTTTCGAACATGTATTAGTAGAATATTGAATTTTAATTTTAAAAAATAATTTAAAAATTATGGTTTAATCCCGACAATAATAATAAAAAAAAATTATCATATATGCATGAGAGAAGGACATGAAGGATAAGTCATAAGCCAAAACCAAAATCCAATTAGTTGTGCAATTAAATACTCAAGAAAACTATCTAAGATGTTGGAAAATACAAGTTTTGGCCAATAAGAAAAGTAGTGCTTTGGAGTTGAGTCAATTACTTATTATATTTGACAAAAAAAAATTAGTTATTATTAAAGTTAAAGGTGTTTTCAGTTAGTATAAATAAATATTGTAATAGTAAAAACATTTGCTTCAAAATCAAGCCATTTTGAACTTTGAGGCTTTCACCTTCCAAGATGTTGTAAATAAAAATTTATCACTTTCAGAGATTCAGCTTCCAAATCACTTATTTTAATTGTTTAGTCATTTTATCTAAACAATTAATTTTCATCTCCTTAAACACAAAGCCACATATAGCTAATTAATTAAACATGGAATAAATATATATATATATATAAGAAAAATTATTGTTTTCACTAACAATAAAATAAATAATAATTAAAAATGAAGTGAGATATATGATACTGTGATACTTTCTTATTCTTGTTTGTAAAATTAAAAAAATTTATTATCAGTATATAAAAAATAAACTATAATATAAAATAGTCTGAATTTATTGTTAGTGGAGGCAAGAACCAATTAATTATTGTCATTATTTTAAAAATACCTATGAATTAAACATGTTGTGTTAAACTAACCCAATAATAAAATTAATAAGAAATTGTTTTGGGAGTGGACTAATGCAGAGGTACATATGTTGAAGGATCTTAGTTGCTTTTCTAATAACTTAGGAACTTAAATTTTTTAATGATTGAACTTTTCAATACTTTGTTTGCAAATTGTCACTATTTAAGTAAATTGAACATTCAACTTTTTTATTTAAAAAAATTATTATTTTGTGTGATGCTCATTGTTTTAGTAAAAGTTATTATGTATAAGGTCAATTGTATTGACAAAAAAGTTTTTTTTTTTTGTCATTAAAAGAGGTATAGCCCTACAACAAGGGAAGAGGGGAGAGGGGGGAGGTTGGGGTCGAACCTCAGTCTTAATATTTTTTTAAGGCTTGCTTGATCACTATATGAAAAAGATAAAATCAAACAAAAAGTTATTATCTTTTAAGGAGATTGTTTAATTTTAAAATAAAAAGAAAAACTCACTTGAAGATAAGCTATGTTTTTGCTTTTTTTTTTTTAATGGAATAGTTTGCTTCAAACGTAAAAAATTAAGGAAAATTAAAGGATTAAGGTTTCAACAAAACAAAGAAAAATTTATTCGAGTATAAAATATATTCATAAATAAATTTTTAAAGTATTTTAAATAAAACTTAGGAGCGTATGATAATCTCTTATTTTAAACTATATTTAGATGAGTTTTTAAATATCATTTCTATGATTAATTTTTTTAGATTATGATTTGAAAATTTTATAATCGAAATTTGAAACTAATATGCTATAATTCATTACATGAGATCAAATCAATATGCTATTGTATAGTTTAAAATCATATGTAAATAAATGTAATAAATGTTTAGATGAGTTCTTAAAGAACACTTTTACGTTTAATTTTTTAAATTATGATCTAAAAATTTTATGTTCAAATTCTATTTATATAAATATTTAGATGAGTTCAAAAAAAAGCTTCAAACATTTAACTTTTGAAATTATAATATAAAAGTTTCACTTTTAAATTTTAAAATTAATGAGATATAATTTATTAGATGAAAGAAAATTATATTTTATTACAGTGTAAAACTAAAATCATATCATCAATTAGAAGTGTAATTAAGTTGAACCAACTTTATATAATGAGAAGTTCAAGCTCAATTTGAAATTTATTGTTCAAAATTCGATTCGATCTCTATTAAGTTTTGAATTTTAGGCTTGGGTTCGATTTAAGATAAAAGTCGAGCTATTTAAATTTGTTTGATTAGGCTTGTTTATCAAATAAACAACAGAACTCGATTCCTATACTGATATTCAAACTTAATTATTTATATTCAAACTTAAATTCAAGCTCAAATTTATATAAATAAAGATAAACTAATAAAATTTTAATTAAAATAATAAATATATGTATTAAAATATAAAAATTCGACTAAATTTACAAATTATTTGAGATGAATATTAAAAAATTAAAACTCGATTTATTCAATAAATCAAACTACTCAAGCTTGACTCAACAATGATTGAATAAAATTTAAATTTTATTTAAATCGAACTCAAATAATTTATAATATATTATTTATGTTCCTATTCCTATATAGAATTTGTTAAAAAAATATATTATTAATTTCAATTTAATCCATCACAGTTTTAAATATATTAAAAAAAAAAGTAAAACCATATCTAAAAAATGGTGCATGATGGTCAAAATAAAAAATGAAAATAAATATATGGCTGACAGACTACCGCTGCTGGTGTCTACATTATCTAAACAATTCAAATGCCCGAAAAATACTACAAGTTGCCAATTTATTCGCCCAAAAACTAAATTTATGTTAGGCCTAAGGTAATTTAAGTATTTAACCAAATTAAAAAAAAAATAAAACAAAACCAATAAAAGCAACAAATTTGGCTAAAGATTTTTCTTTTTGAATAAGTTCTTTTTTTTTTTTAATAATACATCAGTTAAGGGGTGGAGAAATGAAAGTTTGTAACATTTTCTTTTAAAAGATGAATTTAGCTAAAAAAATTATAAATATTGATTTAAAATAATTAAAATGTTATTTTTTTATAAATTTATATTCCATATATTATTTTTATAAAATTCAAAAATATATTAATTAAATATTTTTACAAATATTACATTAATTAGTACCACTAATTACTAACATTTTTTTATTTTTCTTACAAATATTTAACAATCAATTTACCTAAAATTAATTGAAAATTATGATAATTGTGCAAAATTTCAAAGAACTTATAAATTTTTTAATTTGATTTTTTTATAAAGATTATGTATTTTAACTTGCATTAAAGAGGATTTATATTTAAGTGGTACATTTGTCAATAACTAAATATGAAAAAATATGTTTAAATAAATTACTAGTAGAAAAAACAATTTGTTTGAGTCCAAAAAAAAATAATAATAATAATAATGAAAAATAGGATGTTGATAAAAGCTGAAAAAGGTATCGACAAGGATGACATCAGATCAAAGGAAAAGCCACTTGTGTGGACCCCACATATCGGGACTGTGTATTTGGTCGTTGACCAACTGATTTATCATGGACCCCACACCAGCCTCCTTTCTCTCCCTAATTCTAACCGTCGTCGCCACGTTCGATTGAATTTTAGTCGTTGGATGATCGTATGAAAATAGAGGAAAGAAATTTGAAGCCCAATTTTTTTTTTTTTTTCATTTTGACTTTACTTTTTCAAAAAATTTCTCTTTTGGTCATAAAAATGAAAAAAATTAAAAGTTGAAAAAAGGTATGCCCTTTTCCTTTTATGCAATGGACGGTTCAAATCTAATACTCTAAGTCCCAAATATGCTAAGGCTAAGCTAAGCATTCAATGTAGAACAAAAAAAAAATCGAATATACCAATTAGTTTAATAACATAAATCAAATGTATTACAATTTTTAAGAATAAATTTAACTTTTGAATTTGTGGAGGGTATTTTGAGTTAATGCTTTGTTGAAAGTTGGTTTAAAGGTTGGTTCAGAGTAATATGTTAAAAAGAAATAATTAAGATGTCTTGTAACTAAGTTTTAGAGTATATTCAACGATTAAGTTAGTAATTAATGATGTCAACGGGTCAGGTCGATGTGAGTTTTTGTTTGTTTCGAATCTTATTCGATTTTAAACATATAAAATTTGTACTCGATCTAACTCGATAATTTTTTATTTTTTTAATATTCGAATTCGATCCCGACTCGACATTGTATAAAATCAAATCCGACTCGATCCGACTTGAAATTAATAAAATATTATTTTTAATATAAATATAAAATTAAATATATAAAAAAATATATAAAATTAAATATAAAATTAAAAAAATAATTTTTTATATATATCAGGTCAGTAGGTCGGATTTATCTAAAACCTGACCCCGATCTGAATCCAAAATTTTTTTATGCCACCCGATCATACCCGACCTGATACCAAAATTTTTTTTTTTAAATCGATCTTAATAAGTCGGATCGGGTCGAAACCTGTTGATTTCAGGTATTTTTACTTTCTCTATTAGTAACATATAATAGGTAAGAAAAAGTAAAGAAAGGAAATAAAAGATAGAAAAAGTAAGTGGGAGTGAGTGAGTGTCAGCAAATGATTCATAATGTCATAGTTGTATTCGGATATTTCTTTGTATAGAGTAAATTGGTGCTAATATGATTAATTGGTAGTGGCTTATATTAACTTGATCAGTTGATTTACCTAATGTTAATTAAGTATTGAACCAATTGAATTGGTTGCCATTATGATGATCAATAATTGTTAACTTGACAATTATGGTATTGACTAGAACCTATTAAAATTCATAGTTTTATATATGATAAATTTTTTTTGTTTATTTATTTAATTTATTTTTTATGAAAAAAGAGGGTCATAACTCAAACCGAAGATTTTTTGGTTTATCCAAGGAATTTTATTGGTTTTATTCCAAATGATATTACAATAAATGTTATGTTAATTAATAGATGGATTTATTTTTTTTTTGAATTTTATCATTTAAATTAAGAATTTAACATTTTACTAATATATTTCATTATTGTTGACTGATTTAAGATGTTTTCTTATAGTATCGTTAAAAAAATCACTCGTATCATATTAGAGTTTTGCTAAGAATGAGATTAAGAGGAAACATGCTTAAAGCCTTTTACATTACAAGCTAAGCTAAATGATAAGGATACGAAATTTAAAAACAAAATAAGATATATACAAAGCAAAATAACATTTTAAATTAATGATAAGCTTAATTGACCAATCTTGAATAAGATGCTACTTAAATTTGAATTGAATGCTTCAAAGAAAAATTGCAATCTATCTAAAATAAACATCATTGAGCAGACCATTTATCCATAATATTAACCAATGAATTTTAAAAGGTAAAAGAAGTTTAAAAAGGTCTAAAATAAAATTTCAATAATAATTTATGTTTTTTATATTTTATTACAATTTAAAAAGGTTTGAATTTTTTATTTTAAATCAATTGAATTTTTAAATATTTATTTTTATCAAATTGAATTCATAAATATAAATTATTGCCAAATTAAGCCATTAATTTGATGGATATAATTAACCAATTTTTTTAATAAAGGTTCAATTGATAAAAATAAATATTTGATGGTTTAATTAATTGTAAAAAAAATAGAGACTTTAATGATTATTGAATTTTAGTTTAAGAGTTTTTGGACTCTTTTGTCAATTTAAAAAGTATTTAAATCTCTACATTGCAAAAGTCCTTTTGAATTTACAACTTTTGGTACTCTTGTTATCATTATGTTACAATTAAAGGTTTGCAATAAACAAATGATAGATGATATATTGCCTTTTGTATAATTACATCTTTTTTTTATCTCTAACTCATGCAGTCATGCCGATCCATATTAAATTTATTAATTTTGTTTTTATAAAAAATTTATTAATCCATATTCAATTTATTTATTGACCAACCCAAAAAAAAAAAAGAAAAAGAAAAAGGAGTATATTTTGTACGTACCGTGAATTAAAATCTTAGTACTTAGATATAGACAGAGCATATGGGCTTTCACACGTATCATGTGAAATTACATGCGCCTTGTCGTTTTGCTCCCGAAAATTCTCAAAGCCAACCAACTCTTTGACTTGCAGCTTATTAAACAATCTAAGAGAGAGAAACGAGATTTTCCCGCTTTCACACGCAAAATTCCTTTTTTTATTTTTATTTTAAATATATAGTTCTAAAAAAATTATTTTGTTTGTTTTATTTTTATTTATAATTAATTATAGTGGGTATTTTAAAAATTGAATAATTCTCTGATAATCAATATTTGTGTAAAAATAAATTTATATAATTAAATAAAAAATAAGACAATAGCTTAAAATAAATATATAATAATAAATTATTAATAAATGATTAATTCATTCGATTAAATTTATTTTTTTATGAAAAAATTTTAAATTTAAATTTATTGATGATCATTTATTAGATTTATCTTAAATACATAATTTACAATCATCGAAAACTTTCAAATATGATAATTTTTATTTTGATTTAAAAAATTAAAATATTTTCTTAAAATATATATATATATATATATAATAACAAATTTTGTGTAAAAGTTTATGCCTTTGACTAATCGACAAAGTCATGCAGAAGTCACGAACAATATTTCTTTTTTTTCTCTCTCTTGTGGGATCAAAAGAATCAGAGCCGTCAAATTTATCTTGATTCGTGTCTTGATGACGTGGAGGAATAAGATGGCATGAAATTGAAAGATACCCGACCAGGACCCATTAGGGGCAATCGTTTGATTTTTGGGTTTGGGCCTAGTATCTAGGTCAAACCTCCCTTCGTTTACTACAAGAATTTGTGGCCCGTAGTTTTATTCTTTTTCATGACGAAAATATCCTTTATTTAATTATTTTTATATTTAAAGGATATGCTGCATTTATATGTCAATTTCATGTTTTAGACAGATATTTTTCATTGGTTTATAAAATGAATATGAAAAAAATACATAATTAATAAATTCCATATGTCTTTTTAATAAATTTGTTGTAAAAAAAAAGATTGCAAAATGTATTCAATTTAAGTAAATTGTAAAAATTAAAATCTTAAGAGGCCTAAGGTAAAAAGATTGCAAATAAAAACCAAAGGGTAACACAGTCAATTGACATCCAATTTCAGTAAAAAAGAGGAGCCTGTTTCCCGGTTGGGCCTAAGGTTGAAGGAGCCCCAGTGCCCTATTTGACCAAACACTCCTAAAACGACAAACCTTCACTCCAACGTCCCACCTTGGTTTCCCGGATTTGACCCTACCACTTTCCTTTAAGCCATCCCCTCCCTCATAATATTAAATTTACCAATTAACCCTCCAAGCCCCCACCAACCCAGCATCCGGCAAAACCCGCCAAAACAAATATATAAAATGAAAAGCCTCATTAGTGGACCCCACTTTCCTACCTGGCAATCCGTGTGAACCCTGTTTTTCCCCATCTGGCATCCAGTGTGGACCCTCCCTCCTTTGTCCATTGCCACGCGTAACCTCAACCCAGAGCTAACAACAAACTGTTAACAATTAAAATAATAATAATAAAGAGAAATTTCAAACTTATAAAGTCAGCTAATTTAAATAAAAATATAAACAAAAACATTTTCTGTATTTTTCTTTCTCTGCAGCAAGAGAAGAGCAGCAGAAACAGCGGCAGCACCTTTCTCTTTTTTTTTTTTTTCTGTTTTTTTTTTTAAATAAAAAGATTTGTTCAAAGGGTGGGGGGGGAGTGAAATGAATCAAATGTGATGGGAAGTGGAGTTTCCACGCTTTGCCCTTGCTTTAATCCGGTGGCAAACCGGTGGAACCGGCAGCCGGATAATCACCCGGACCGGATCTTTGCTTCATCAGAGCCGTTGGATGAAACCCTAGGCCACTCCTTTTGTTACGTTCGGTCTTCCAATCGTTTCCTCTCTCCGACTCCTTCCGATCGTTTCGTTTCTCCTTCGCACTCTCAACGTTTCTCTCCGTCGCACGACCCAAATACCCGAACTGGACCTGAAACTTTGTTTAAAGCCATATCCGGAGCCTCCGTGAGTGCTAATACGTCGACTGCCAGAACTGTCCTCCAACTTGACAATATATACGACGATGCCACTGAGAATACCCTCGGTTACGGTATTAAAAGCAGTATCGTTAGCGGGAATGGCTTCGAGAGCACATCGTTGTTTAGTGCCTTGCCACTTCAGCCGGTGCCACGTGGCGGAGCTCATGATCAGGTGGAGCGGGGTGGGTTCTTCATGTCGGGTCCGTTAGAGCGCGGGATGGTGTCAGGTCCACTGGAGGCCAACGCGGGTTCCGAAGGGAGTGCACATTTCTCGGCACCGTTGGGTGGCCTTTATGTAAAAAAGAAGAGGAAGAAGGGCATTTCGAGGATATTTACAAATTTCTCCGAGAAGAAACGGCCCTGGGTGGTTCCTGTCTTGAATTTCGTCGGGAGAAAAGAGAATTCCGAGGATACTGAGGCGGCGGCAGCGACGGAGGGGAAGACCGATGGTGATGTGCAGTGGGCGTTAGGGAAGGCCGGGGAGGATCGGGTTCACGTCGTTGTTTCGGAGGAGCAAGGGTGGTTGTTCGTTGGGATTTACGACGGGTTTAATGGGCCGGATGCACCCGAATTCTTGATGGGTAATCTCTATCGAGCTGTTTTCCATGAACTCCATGGTCTTTTTTGGGAACTTGATGAAGAAACTGAAAATAAAACTGAAAATGAAAATGCAGCTGAAAATAAAACTAACCTACCCAACTTAATCATAGGTACAGATAGCTTAAATAAAACTTATAGTGAAACTGAGAATCAGAAGAAGTCTGTTGAGGAGGTTAAGAGTGCAGGGGAGGGCATAATAAGGGAGAATGAATCGAGTGGAGTGGTACAAGAGAGGACGAAGAGGGTAACCTTTGGATTAGAGGGGACTGAGATTACGAGGAGGAGGTTGTGGGAGTTTCTTGCCGAGGATGACCATGAAGAAGGGTTGGATCTTTCGGGGTCTGATAGGTTTGCCTTTTCGGTGGATGATGCCATTAGTGCAAGTAAAGAGGGGTCTGTAGTGAGTAGGAGGTGGTTGTTGTCGAAATTGAAGCAAGGGTTGTCTAAGCATAGAGAGGGGTCCAGAAGTTTGTTACTTCCATGGAGGTTTGGGTTGGAAGGGAAGGAGAAGGCTGAGGAGGTAGATAATAGAGTGAAGGAGAGTGCTCAAAAGACTGGGAGGAGAAGGAGAGAAGGTCTGGTTGATCATGAATTGGTTTTGAGGGCATTGTCGAGAGCTCTGGAAGTGACTGAAGTAGCATATTTGGATATGACAGATAAGGTGCTTGGAACGAATCCAGAGCTTGCATTGATGGGTTCATGTTTGTTGGTGGTATTGATGAGGGATGAGGATGTGTATGTGATGAATGTGGGGGATAGTAGGGCAATAGTTGCGCAGTATGAACCAGAGGAAGTTGGTTCCAGTATGGAGGGAAGAAAGCAAGAGGAAAATGGGTCAAGCATGGAGGGTATAGTGGAGGAGACATTGGCAGTTGGTGCTAAGTCAATTAAGCCAGTGAACGAGGCTCCTGTTCAGCCCATCAGATTGACTGCATTGCAGCTGTCAACTGATCATAGCACAAGCATTGAAGAAGTAAGTTCTGACTATTGAAAAATAGTGTTCTTTTTATGTTTTCTGCCTTCATCTTTGAGTGATTAAAATCTTTATTGTAGCTTTTATTAATATGAATTATGTGGGTTGACAATTTTCTCTGCTTCAGACTGGCATTGAAGCTACATTTTTTGAGTAGTATAAGTTTGGATTTTATGACTCCAGGCTGATTCCTGTCTTGAATCATTAGGAAATTTGACAACTCTTAGATTGCTAAGTTTTATTTTTATTATAGTTTATGCTAAGAGCTTCAATGAATTATTAAATGACTTAAAAGGAATGTCTTGTGTATGTGGTTGTACCTTTGGGCATGGAATGGTTTTCTTGTCAACGTACTTTTATCAGGTTTCCATTGTTTAGCACTTTAGCTAGAAAGTTTAGTTCCATCTATCTCAGTTATGCATTGAGCTACTTTATAATGCTATTGCTTACACATTTTAAGTATTTCAAATTATACTTTTACTTTGTAAGGGCTATGCCCTCTCCTGAACCAAAAAAAAAAAAAAAAAGAAAATTCTACTTTTACTCTCATATGATTTTGATCTGCTATGGAAAAGAATTTTGGGAGTTTAATGTTAAGCAGACGAGGTTCTTGCTCTGGAATGGCCTAGGCATTATCAGTGTGCTTCTAGATGTGTTTGGAGAGGAGTTCTTTTAGATGAATTCCCATGCAGATCATGCACTTTGTAAAAGCCTCTCTTATCTGGTTCTTAAGACTATACCTTACCCATCATCCTTTATTTCCTGGAAATTGCTCTAGCAAGGGGATTGTAGATCTCAGACAAGTCGGCTTAAATCTTGTATAAGTCATATATATTACTTTTTAAAATTTTCTTTTTATCCATTGGATAGGGGATAGGGGATGGTTCTGGTTTAGGGTTGCATGTTTAAACTGTTTAGCATAGTCAAATCCATTGAAAGTTGGGTATCAAACAGTTTATGAATTTGAAATGTGGTGCTTTTTCTCTGATGAAGGTTATGAGAATGATTGACATTTTTATCCGGTGAAGATTTTGAGAATGATCAACATTAACTGCGGATTTTGGTTGGAAGAACAGACTACAAACTTCTATAATTTAGAGGAGATACCTGATCAAAGTTTTCATTAAGTATGTGGAGTTGGCTAGGAAAAATGATCCTTAAAGAGATGGATCTCTGTCTTCTCAGATCGTAAGGGAAATGATAAGCATTAATCGTGGGAGCACACAGTGGTGCCTCTTTTGTATATAGGGGAAGTTCGTTGATATTGCTGGCAAAACACTTGATTTTGAGGAAAGTTTTATTCAAACATAATGGTATTAATAAGTGGCACTAGCTTTGGTCATATGGACTTGGGTAATTGTGTTGGGTGGAGGTGTCCATACTTGGGCTGTGTCTGGTCTTCAAGAACCAACGCAGGGGCTGTGATATACTGTCCGATAACTTGGTGCATGTTTGTGGTTGTACATATACCTGAAAATTGGTTGGTATTTCAAAATTGTTCTCCGGGTTAAGTTATTGTGCTTGAACTCTGAGTTACTTCAAGGTAATTGAAGTTATAAGGATGTTGAGATAAACTGGTGTTTGATTGACTGGAATGATATTTGCTATTTGGTGAAAGACTAGATTTATCTGCCATGTATTTTCAAAAAAAGAAAAAAAGTTATCTGCAATGTTTTATCATCCATTCTTCTCCCTTTTTAACAAAACAAAATCAATTAGGTAAGCTTGGATTGTCATGCTCAGATCTTGTCCCTCTATTCTTGTCATACTGTGATAAACTTTTTTGTCTATTCAGTAGATGATACTAATTGAGACATTAATGGGCTTCTCGGCTCTTGGAAGCTTTAAGAGAAACCTGATCATGTGCTTTATGTTTGGAGTTATTTTGCTGCTCGAATTCTGGTCTTTTTATACTCCTTATTTTGAACAGCTCTAGCTTGACAGCAGTAAATGGTGCATTTGGAATGACAGAAGTAGCAAGATTCCTGGGTGTGATCTCCTTGTTCCTTAGATCATTATTTCATGGATTGCTAGGACAATGCTTTGGCTCTTGTTTATATCTCTTTCACTACTTTTTCTCAAAATTTGGATCCGTTACACACGCTTAACATTAGATTTTTGTTAGTTTGGGTTGAAGAGGCCTTTCGTTTGTATCAAACGACTAATAATTTGGTAATATTGCCTTGGATGTCCTCAGCTAATGATGAATGATAATATACAAATTAGTGAGCAAAAGTACATAAAATTGCAGCTTTCTTGGTGATTGCTGTTTCAGACATAGATGAAAGATTATCAGTTGAAACTGTATATAGTTCTCCTAATTTATATGTTACATTTGCTAAATTTCACTGTTTGATTTGTACAGGAAGTTGTAAGAATCAAGAATGAGCATCCAGATGACAGCCAGTGCATTGTCAATGACAGAGTGAAAGGTCGACTTAAAGTAACCAGAGCATTTGGTGCAGGATTTCTGAAAAAGGTTCTTTCACTTGCCTTTTCACTATTGAAGTTTTAAATCTTATCTATTGTGTTTAATTAAGGCTTTGCATCGCATGGCTTATCAATTATTTATTGTGAAGAGGCTATAAAGGAAATCCTGAAGGTTGAGAAGAGTACAAATTTACTTGGCTTTTCTTTGAAAAAAAATTTATTTTTGGACAAAAAGATATTTCAGCTGCCCAACATTTTAATATAGATGTTTCCAAATGTCACAAGTAGCAAATTATGCATTCTTTTTTGGGATTAGTGAGAGTGAGGGGGCTTAAGAGGAGAGGAGGAAAAGGGCTTGTCTCACATTTCATATTATGTTAAAATCTTTAAGGATGTAACCAGCTCATGCAATAACATGATCTTCACATTTTTGCAGCCCAAGTTGAATGATGCATTATTGGAGATGTTTCGAAATGAGTACATTGGTACTGCACCATATATATCGTGCTCACCTTCTCTTTGTCACCATAGACTTTGCCCAAGGGATCAATTTTTAATTCTCTCATCTGATGGATTGTATCAGTATCTGAGCAATCAGGAAGTGGTTTCTCTTGTTGAGAGTTTTATGGAGAAGTTTCCGGATGGAGACCCTGCACAACAGCTGATAGAGGAGGTTCTTTTCCGTGCAGCCAAGAAAGCTGGTAAACATTCTTTCTATAATTTGCTTCATATCCCTAGTCCCCTTGTGTATAACGTGAAGAAGTAATTCCAAGATTGAATGGAAACTTGTGACAAAGTCGGTGGATTGCCACATGAGGATGAATTTTCACTTAGATAGGATCCAAACTATTCTTTAGTTTCTGTTGCTGCCCTACGTAATGTGATTACCTGTGGCTTTTGTTCAAGTAGTAAAGCTTTTCTACTTTTAAAGTTCCTTCTTTGTTTAGGCGGTTCTTTATATTCAATTGTTTAGCACTACATTTGGTGTTTGGGATTACATGGTTAACATAATCTTCGCTAGCATATTATTCTTTTTATCCCCTCTATTCTACTTTTGGGTTGTACTATTTTTTGTCAGAATATCTATATTCCCAAATTCATGATTTTCGCTATTATGCTAGGCTGAAAAGCTGGCTTTAGAATCCAGGGTAAACTTTTAAGTTGGCTAAGAAGGAATTGAAGGTTCTAAGCCGTTGATATGAAGCTAAGTACTTAAGAGATTTTGTGACTTCATGAACATCTTTTCTTCTTTTTATAAATGATGTCGACACAAAAGATAGATTCATAACACTTTATTTCTGTTCATCTGACATGTTAGGGGTTGTCTTTCCTTTTTGGGTACTAAATTCTATCTTGGCTTGGATTTCTGCAGGCATGGATTTCCATGAATTACTGGACATCCCACAAGGAGATCGAAGGAAGTACCATGATGATGTTACTGTCATGGTTTTATCGCTGGAGGGAAGAATTTGGAAGTCATCTGGAAAGTACCTATGAAACTCTTCACATGCTAGGCTCGCAACAAGCAATTTCTACATACAAGTGACTCAAAACTCAGAGGTTTAAATTCCTATAGTCCAGTCTTTGCAAGCACTCGGAAAATGTGGGTGCTGGCCCATTTTTTTGTGGGTCTCAAATGGGTTTTTCTAGGTCTTCACCATAAGTATACAGCTGATAGCAAAGACTAATGTGTTAGGCACTCATCAGGAGTTAAATAGATGCCTGAAATTTTGTTCTGGATAAACGAAGGGATAAAAAATGTGCAGATGGGGATCACCAGGAAGTGCTTTTTAGGGACAGAAGAAAGAAATAATCTTTTTTGTTTCTCCTTTTCTTTATCAGAGGATTTTGCATCGGCGAGAGGCAATGTTCAATTCCAGGTGCCTTCCCTTTTTTAGCATTTTTGTTCCTTTTTAGAGTGAAAATAGTTTTTGTAATTTGGTGGGGGGATACAAATAGATATAGTTACTGAACTTGGAGCATTTCCTTTAATTGAAAGCAGATCAGAACAAACTGATATAACAATCTAAAAGTTAGAAGATTATTTCACGGAAGAGATGGGCTTGTAATTACAGCTGAATAACCATCTGTGGCAACCACAAAACAACCAGCTGTCTCTTCACTCTGCCTGAGAGGTGCTGCATGTTTATTCAAAGGAGAAGCAAAGGAATTGGACAATCCTTGAGAGAATTTACGAGTTCCAGCACCAGTTTGAGCAGAAAATAGTTCTGGCAATGCTTTTTCACGTTTAACAATTTTGGCCGAAGTCCCCATCCACTCTTCAAGAGCTGTCTGGGCTGCGCCAACAGAGAGTGACCGAACATCCAGACTGCACTCGTCACCAGTTTTATTGTGTAAACCTGGGTATAGCCCTCACAGAGTTCCCAGATAAAGCAGATCATGTGCTCCCTCGTGGAGATGATTACTTCTACATATATCAAGCAAGCAATTGCTTGATTGATATATATGTATAAATATAAAAAGTCTTTTAATCAAATTAAAGTATAAAGAAAAAATAATTTATTAATTTATATATATACTTCATAATTTGATTTTATTTACTTGCACTTAATTAAAAAAAAAAAAATAGATACGATTTTGAATCTTTTAAAAAAAATATGCATTTGGTCGAAATGAATCAAAATCGATTAAACACGAATTTTTGTGTCATGCTTTAAAAACACTACTATCGTCATTTTAAGAAAGATAAAAAGTCAATTCAACATAGGACGATAATCCAATTTATCTCTGATGAGTTTTGATTTGATTTGATTTCATAATTTTTTTTTTTAAATCAAGTTTCGAATGGGATCGGATAAAATTAAAAAAAAATTAAAATTAAATCAGATTCGAATTTTAGACAAATCCGATTTAATCTGACTCAATATTATAAAAAATTTATTTTTAATTATATATTTATATATATTTATATAATTATATATTTAAATATTTATATTTTAAAAATAATATTTTATTAATTTTGGTCGGATCAGATTGTGTACAATTTACACAATATCAAATCAGGTTCGGATATGAAAAAATTAAAAAAAAAATTTTGAATCAAGTTTGAGACGAACAAAAACCTGTTTCGATTCGACCTATCGTCAACTCTAATCCAACATCAAATAAAATAAATGCATTTATTAGATAAAAATGAATTGAAACTATCGTAATTATCTTATCATAATCACTTATTTTTTTTTTCACCCAATTAATTTAACAAAAACTCTAAATCCATAAAAATAAAAAACAAAAAGAACGAAACCCAAAAACGAAAAAATAAATGTCATGGAACATCTCATTGATTTCCAATCGCTACGTAATTCTTTGTAACCAATGTATGAATTGCAATAGATATTTTGGTTACCTTATCTGAAGGTAACCAAATAGCAAATAAGCTCTTTTATGTATTGCTGATTTGCTGCGCCTTTGCTTTAGGAATCGACGGGGGATTGCAACGCAAAATATTGATACGACGTCACTCAACTCCTAGAGTTTGAATAGAACTAGGCCCCCAAAAAATGATTGAAGCGAAAAGTTAAAAAAAAAAAAAAAACCCATAAATTTTCTCAACAAAATAAGCAATTAGCAGCAACAATTCTTTTATTTGATAGTAGAACAAATTTTGTTTGAATAGAGGGATGGTTATTAGGAAAAAAAAAGGTAATTAAACCATCAGTAATCAATGATTATGAAAAGCCTTTTCTTGGGGATTGAAGCAATTCTTTAACGTGATCTTTCACTTGCTTTTGGACAAAAGAATAAGGCAGCCTGTCAATAACCTCAGCCCCAAATGAAAAGACAAGTGCCTTTCTAGCAGTCTCCAAGTCGATCCCACTTGCTTGAAAATAAAATAGTTGGCTGTCTTCTAGGTCACTTATTGCAGCTCCATGAGAGCACTTTACATCATCAGCAATAATTTGGAGATTGGGTTTCACATTTACAGTCGTTCGAGGCTCAAGAAGCAGGCTCCTTGTTAGTTGCCCTGCATCTGTCTGTTGTGCATACCTGCAAAAAGATTACAAGAAAATGAGATCAAAGAAACATAAATATCCAAGTTCACAAGTTTCTTTTACATTAAATTTTACATTGCCACTCCAGTTCTTGCCATCATCTAAACATAATACCTGTTGACCCTTACATTCCCATCAAAAACTGCTGGCCCAGATGAATGACCCACAATACATTTGTGAAGTTGTTGAGAATAACCGCGTGGATGGTCCAAAACTATTCTACTTTGTAGATCATGGGTTTGATCACCAACACACATATGAAATGTTGTTAACTCAGTTACTGTATCAGAGCCCACTTGTTGAACATGGACATTATGCCTGCTTAATTTTCCACCAGTGCTTACCTCCACAAGCTCACAGGAACTAGTTGAATCCTACACATCACCAGTAAGTTTATGAGAATACTGTTACTGTTGCCCATTTAAGTAGCAAATGTGTGTTTAAATTCAATTTACAAAACAGCAAAAGATGCTTTAGGAACTTACATTAGGGTGGCAGAGGCTAGAGGCTAAAGGCTAAAGGCTAAAGCGATTGAATTGCAAACCTCGACTGAGATGGGATAGAGGGCTACAAGAACTTGGCTATGAGTTTATAACTAGGATTGAAGATGTGAGTCCCATGACTTGAATCCTAATCTCAACCCAACTACCCGTCTCTCCAATCCCGAGTCAAGTCCAACCTTTAGAAGAAATAAATTTCCTTTTAAATTCTAAACTAAGGAAAACAAAAATAGTCTTCAGGAAGCCACTAAACTGAATATGGAAATTGTCTGGATGTTTAGTCAATTTTCAAGAGATATCTGTACGAGCCCTTTAGACTTGAGTTTCCACAGTTGTGTTTCGTACTTGCTTACGACCTTTGTGGTTGCTCTCTTGAATAAAGTTTCATTCATTTGCTTAAAAAGCACTTCCTTCTTAAAGATCAATAGACCACTATACAAGCATATATAAAGCTCATTCACTGAACTAAGTAACAAGTTACACACTAACTTCACATGAAAACAGTAAACCAATTTAAGAAGCAATAACACGAAAGCCGGACTGAAGTCCACTTGATATGAGCAGGATTCAAAGATTGTTTTTGAACATAAGAATGCCTAACTTTTCCTCCTTATCCGACCACCACCTCCAAGACTGCGTTAGTCCAATAACACTGACTCCCTTCTTTACCAACAAACTCCTCAACTATCCCCACTTCCCCTCCTTTCTCAACCAACACAAACACTCTCGGATTCGAAAGCGGCATCGTTTTAGACCCCTCATCACCTCCCTCAACTGCAATGTACTTCAAATAAATAGGATTCTCAATTCTACACCCTTCAGGGACATAAACAATCGTCAAATCAGGTGCCCCCAGTCCGTTAACAAACCAAAACAAATCGCCCCATTCAAAATCACCTAAAAATTCAGACACCCTTTTAGGAGTTCTCTCTGAAGAGAGCTTTAACAAGCTACCTACATAAACCCCATTTGCCAAATTTGATGAATCATATGAAGAATCCACAAGAAACCCATCAAATTAATCAAAACTTTTAAACTGGGTATCTCTCGAAACATCCAAAACAATCAGGGATTTTGGTGGATGAGAAATTGGCTTTATATCTGAATTCTTGATAAAAGACGTTTCTGTTAAGCGAAAAGACTCGTCTTTTCGAGAGGGCCATTGGGTTGAAAGAAGGGTTTCCGAGGAACAGCCTCTTAGTTTTTGAAGCGGCGAAGAAGAAGAAGAAGGGAGCGAGTCTTCTAATGAATCAGCTAATTGGAGAACAAATTGGTCGGTAAAAGAAGCTTGTGGGAAAGTTGTAATTGTTTCGATTGACAATTTGGTTTTGGTTCTTTTGAGTCTGCGCTTTGGTTGTTAAGGCGTGAGTTTCGGAGTAGACTGAAGAAGAATTTGGTTAGTGAACGTTAAGGCAGCCATTGATGAGCGGCCAAAACCTGTGTCTCAGGTATAATCGAATCGAATCGAGTCAATACAATGAAAAGTTCGAGCTCGGCTCACAATTTGCGACTCATTATTTGATTCGAATTCGATCGAATTTTATTTTCAAGTTTGAATTCGATTCGTGATCGAATTCGAGCTACTCGAGTTTGTTCGATTAAATTCGATTAATATGTAAAAATAAGTTCAATTCGTACATCGACAAGAATTCGATTATTTATGTTCGAGTTCGAATTAAAATTTAAAATATTTTATTAATTAAAATAACAAAAGTATATTTAAATATAAAAGTTCGATTAAGCTCGCGAGCTACTCGAATCAGATATAAGATTATTCGAATTCGGCTCGATCGATAAATCGAGTTACTCGAGCTTGAGCTCGAGCTCGACTCGATAATAATCGAACAAAATTCGAGTTTTCTTCGAATCGAATCTGAATAGCTTGCGAGTATTAATGTATCATTTACACTCTAATCTTGTGGACCAAGAAAATTGTATATTTGTAGTTAAACCGACACAAAACAAGAAAATTATAGCTTCACCCCTTTTCCTATTATAATTGCACCATTTCCACCATTAGTTTGATCGAAATTGCAATTTAACAAGAGTTTCTCAGCATTGAAGTTCTTCACCAAAAGTCTTTCCAAATAAGAGTTTTAAATTTTTGATCAAAAGAAGAAATCAAGTTATGGCAAAGCAAAACCAGGTAAGAAAATTGAGTTTTAGTAGGATGTAAATTATTATGCCTGCCATGGTGTTTCCAGGTCCTTGAATTAAATTTAAAGTGCAGATAAGGTTCTTTATGTTTTTTCTTAGATTCTTCAGCCAAAATAATTAGTTAGGTTCAATTTTATAGATTTTTTGTTTTTTTATATTTATTTACAAAAAAAAAGCAAAAAATTTATCAAATAAAACTTTATAACTTAGGTAGTGTATGGTATCATTTTCAAAATTATTGTGGAGATCTAATTATCATTATGATAAATCACCAAAATTATAATTTGATTATTGATGATCTTAAGTTATCATGTTTGATACAATATTATAAATTATTGATGCTTTTAAATCATTATGTTTCGTATTATATGAAAAAATAAATCATATAATACAAACTATCCCATATATCTTTGATATATATATATATTCAATACTTATTAAATCAACAATTTATAAAATAATTCAATGTTATTTTATAGAAAATTACAAAATATAAATTAATTTTGATAAAAATAATTTTGAAAATAATTATTAAATAAATTTATTTCTTTTCTTATCAATATAAATATATAACATAAAATTTTTCTACACTAGGTGATTAAAAAAATTGATTTTTAAAAAAATTTAGTAGTCAGTTTCTTGGGTAATATTAATTATATTTTTTGTGAAGATAAATTAATTAAAAAATAATATTAAAAATTATTTTGTCTTACGGATAAAACTTTTTCATTATGAAAGCAAAATATTTTTCAAGATAATGATTTTATCACCTCAATGATTGAAAATCAATGTCGTAAAAATTTTAAATTATTATTATCA